GCGTGGGGGAGAGCTGAAGATTAAGGAGATGGAGGTGCAGTGTTACCTATTTGTGTTGCTGGGATCCACGCTTTTTGTGGATAAGAGTCGTGATCGCCTTCGTCCTGCGATCAACTTGTTTCTGAAGGATCATCGACTATTGACTGATTACGCTTGGGGAGCTGGTGCACTAGCCTATCTCTACAGACAGTTGGGAGTGGCCACACGAGCGGGTAGTAAGGGTCTTTGTGGTTGTTTGACCCTGCTTCAGGTTTGGATATATGAGTACTTTCCTCTTTTCCGTCCGAGCCAGCTGCCACAGTCTCCGGATGCACCTCGTGCTTCCTCGTGGATTTCTCCCCGTTTGCCAGGTGGGGATGAGGCTAGACAGAGGTTAGCACGTTATCGACAGTTGTTGGATGAGCTTTCAGCTGATGATGTGACCTGGACTCCGTACGGACGAGATGGCCACACAGATATACCCCGCTCCTTGTATACTGGCCCCATTCGCTTTTCTTACATTGCTGAGGGATACGATCCTGCACGTTGTCTGCGCCAGTTTGGATACCGACAGATTATCCCCCGTGCTATGACGGTACCACATGACCAGTACCGTCCGGCTTCCGGCAGCAGTTACATAGTCTTTTGGGATCCGTGGGTGAATCAGTTGTGGGATAACGTGGCAGCCCGCCGTCTAGATTTGGATTTTGCTTCTCGGTCGTGCGAGCAGCCATCGGAGATCGTGGAGGAGTACATTGACTGGTTTCTGACTAGATCGCACCCACGGATCACCCACCCCACTGATGGGGAGCCTCAGCCTCGACCACTACTAGTTCATCAGGTTAGTTATGACTTTCTTTTGCTTTTCCAAATATAAATGACATTTGTTATTTATTCTAACATTGTTTTCTATTTACAGTTGAGAGAGCAGATTGTGGATCGTTTAGGTCCCGTGTTGTTGACGAGGGACCGGAGTAAGTGGGAGGAGGACGGTGGTAAGCTCTATGATATGGTAGCTGGAGTTTTCGAGTTGTACGACCAGTTGGTAGGGCAGCCGCCTCAGTAGACGATTGTGTTTTTATTTGTCATCGTTTGTAGTTGAACTGAGACTATTGTGTTTTTTATTTGTCATCGTTTGTAGTTGAACTGAGACTATTGTGTATTTTATTTGTCATCGTTTGTAGTTGAACTGAGACTATTGTGTGTTTTATTTGTCATCGTTTGTAGTTGAACTGAGACTATTATGTGTTTTATTTGTCATCGTTTGTAGTTTAATTGAGACGGTTGTGCGTTTTTTCACTTTAGTTACATTCAATGCATTGCTAAAATAGTTAATCAACATGGTAGATTACTAAATGTTTCAACAATAGAGAGTTATACAATTCGTAAATAGAGAGTTATACAATAGAGAGTTATACAATTCATCCCCGTGGGTTCAATCTATCATAAAGCGCACGCTCATGTAAGAAGAATTGATCCCACCCATTGACACTAGGGTCATGAAAAATAGGCCAAAGGCCATTAATTGGAGGCATGGGCACTTGACCATGTCGAAAGTCAAGTCGCACCCAATGATCCCCTGTAAAATGTAGTGATAAGATCCCACGTGGTCTTGTTACTCCTGGTGGGGCCGTCACAGGTAGCACGGTATAACGACCGCCTTGACTGTATACAACGATGGCCCATGAATGCAAGGTGGCGAAGACGAAGAGTTCCGCATTATCCATCCAGTTGAAAGGTCCACAGCCACTTGTTGATGCCCACCTGCAACGTCGAATGCCATTTTCTATTCCATTTGCTATTCCATCATAGTAGTCTCTATAAAGCTCAGGACGGGATTCAAGCTCCTCTAGAACAGCGCGTCTCATTTGTGGCCAATTCCTTTGGTCCCCAGTAGCTGCTTGTGATATAGCTCGAAATCCACAGTGTCCATCTGGAATAGGGTTGAACCAACCACGAACTAGTCGTTGCACGTAGGATTCCAAACAATGTAGCCATGGGTAATTCTTCCAACTAGTATTGGGAATCCGAGCAACCCTCCACGGGGCACCATCTAGCCAAAGAGCATAACACAATAAATTAATACAATGAGTTATACAATATGTTTACCCGAAATTAGGAATATAATTTCTAACCTGTATCATTATGGATCGGCTCCGTCTCATCCTCGAAGTTGGTTTGTGCATTCACATTCGGGGCACCACCTATCTCATTTTAAAAAAATAGATTAGTTGTACACCATATTGAGGACAGTTGAACACAACTAAAAGAAAAAGTTAATCTACCTGTATTTCCATCATTGTCCGGAGTTGCAGTCGAAAGTCTTGAACTTCTCCTCCCTCGTCTCCTCTCCACATGCTCGAAGTGAGACAGGTTTCGAGTGGTGGACGTCCTTGGGCGACCGGGGCGGGGCTGTCCCCCATGCGGTTCATCAATGCCATCATCTTCAGGATGAAGATGGCTCCGGAGTAGGCTGATTGCACCTCGAATGGTCTCGTCGCCTCTATCAAGAACCTCCTGTACTAGACCTTGGAACACACCACGGTGGTAATCACTATGGTCATCCCACTTCGGCCGAGTAGGAGGTTCACGATAGTTGATAACGGTCCAGAATGGCAACACATCATACACGGCGAAATCCCGATTTTCACGTCATGCTAACTGAATGGAACATCTACATGGGAGACCATAGGTAGGAAGAAACGTACATGTACAAGGTTCCCCTTCCACTGCTACCTCGAACAACATCAACCTCAGAGCTTCTAGAGTGACTTTCGTATTCAACTCTCGAAATGGTTTTCCATCCGCTCGGAGCAGCTTCTTTTGTCGGGAATCCTCTAGCAGCTTCCTGATTTGAAGGTGTTGAGCCTCAATGTAATCATCGTTCTTCTTGTATACCTACAAACAATGAAGAACAATTAGGAGACTACTAAAACTTATGTGTGTATCAATGAAGATTTATTAGATTACTAACCGTGTCGACTGCGCCAGTAGATGATTGAAGCCACTTCTTGAAGGAGGAATGGGCAGCTTCAACCCTATTAGAGCTTGTGTTACCCAAATGCCGCAGTTGATTGGTATAACATTTAGCCCACATGTGTCTAACTGGTAACCACTCAGCTGTCATATACCCCCAAAGACGTCGGTACTGTACTCCCCAACTACGTCTGAAATTCTCTAAGGCAGTATCCATGTCTTCCACTGTCAATGCATATACAGCACGTTGCCAAGACGCCAAGATATGATCCACTGTCGGTTTGGCTGCATCTATACCACAATGAGTCGTCCTTCGCACCTCCGTTAGACACTTTGCTCTCACATTCCTATCCATATGCCAAAGACATAAAATATGAGTCGATGATGGAAACATTACCCCCACGGTCTCAACCAATCCTCCTGCCTTGTCACTGACAAACACATCTGGAACAATGGGGCCAAGAAGATGTTGCAAATGCGTCAGAAGCCACTGGTACGACTCCTTCGTCTCGTCATACACTATTGCATATGCAATGACAAAGTTCAATCCCACTGGTGTCATGCCGACAATCTCAACCCAAGGCATATCATACTTATTGGTCTTGTATGTTGCATCTATCACGATCACATGGTGCCAAGCTCGCAACATCAATATTGACTCGGGGTGGGCTAGGAACAAGTGTGTAAGCACGTTACGATCGTCCATATACTGCACATAGTAACCCTTCTCCTGCGCCATGCGGAAAGTATACTGTAAGGCTGTCATCTGACCAAGCTCTTCTTTCCTTATCTTGTGGCACTCGTTATAAATCTGCTTTCTGTTGTGTGTTCCATTTGCACCTTTTCTGTCATTCACTGCCTTGTGGATATTCCTTGGTGGGACACCGGCTGATCTCAGCTCTCTGATGTATTGCTTGTCCTCTGTAGTCAAAACATTCCTTCCCTTTGATCCCTCCGGAAATAGCTCCAACTGATGATTGTGGAAACCCAAATTAGCACCAGGATTCTTTGTATTTGCCACCCCTAGGATCAACCAATATCCATCACCTGACCGCTCAAGCTTGATCTGAAACTCGCACCCCAACTTTTCAGTAGATGTAAGAGGCCTCGTTTCCTTACTCGGATCAGGTTCCTTCGACTTCTTCTTCCTACCATGAGTGCAATGTAAGTAATGTCGCCAAGTACCTTCATTCGTATTTTTTTTTTGTTCGATGCCCTCACCAAATAAAACCCAAAACCCTTTGCAATCTCAATGGCTGCTTCATATGCTTGCAACTCCGTAGTGTATTTCACGCCATCAATGAAATCCGAGGTGTAATCATGGCCATCCGGATTGTAACTTCCAATATCCTGCAATGTTATCAGTATTAAATTTAATAATCATCATAACTTCATATGCGAATCTATTATTTATGCAATAAATTTAATCTTAATTTGTAATGCAAAATCTAATCTTAATTTTCTAGATTAACACCAAATTAAATCTAATCTTAATTTAAGGCCAAATCTAATCTTAATTTCTAATGCTAAATCCTTCAATTCCAAAAATAATTATGCAAATAAATCTAAAAAATTATATAAATCAAAACCCAACAAATTATTTCATGGAACAATCATAAATCATATAAAAAATAGAAAATTATTCAACGGAAAAAAAAAACCCAAAAAATGCCCAACCGCAAGTGACCTGCGGTTGGACCATGGTCGGACCGCAAATCACCCGCGGTTCCCATTTTCTGTGTTTTTTTTTTTTCAGTTCATGTTTTTACCTCGTCGGAGTCGCTACTCATGATTCAGACGTCCTACCGACGATATCGGCTTCAAAATGACGATGAGAGCATTTTCCTCTCCTTAGATAGTGTTTTTTTAGTCCAAATGATGTTTGTTTGAGGAAGGGAAGGTAAAGAAGCTATGGGGTCAAAACTCAAAAGTATACCTTTTATTCTTTTTAGGGCGACCTTTAGCAATTTTAAGGACGACCTTTAGCAACTCCCTTTCTTTTTCCTTAACAATGGAATGACTGCGCTGATTCCCTTTCTGCCGGCCCCCACTCTCCTCCGTCTCACATACGGAAACCATATAGCCAACTCTTCCTTCCTTCCTTACACGTTCGCTCCTCGTCAGTCATCATCATCCTCCTAACTCTTCTTTCTTCTTCTTCTCTCTCGGGGTTAGTCTTTAAAATGGTGATCTCTCGATTATAATAAAAAAAGAAGACCTCTTGATGTTTATTCTATAAAATTCAGACTACCCATTTACCCAATAGTGTTCCTTTCATTCTCAGCTCAACTATTCCATATTTATCTTACTTGTGCTTTCGATAGCCTCACCTTCTCCAAACGGCGGCGGCCATGATGATGCGGACCCTGTTTGCGGCGAGGAGGTCTCTCTCTGCTTCTTCTTCTCTTCTACAGCGAGCTTCCTTCTCCTCGTCGCTTCTCTTCGACGAGACCCAGTTGCAGGTAGAAGCTATCCGTTTCTCGCTTCCCGAGTCAGTAGAAGCTAGTTTATTTTTTTACTGATTTGGAAATGAATTGAGAAAGTTACGCTGTATCCACATCTTTATGACGGTTTTATCGACTGTTTAATCTTACTGTGAGAAGATGCTCTGATCGATGAGCGTGTTGTTGCTGCTTGCTTGCTTGTTCTAATTGGGTTCTTTCGTTGCTGGTGGCAACATTGATTGGGCAGTTCAAAGAAAGTGTTAACCAGTTTGCACAGGAGAACATTGCTCCTCATGCATCTAAGATAGACCACACCAACTATTTCCCAAAGGTGGGTAACACTGTTCAATCATTGGGTTCTAAAGAAGGAAGTGATCAAGCAGAAGTTTTCCCGTCTCCATGTAAATTGACCATGTTGTGAATTGATGTTGCAGGATGTTAACTTGTGGAAACTAATGGGAGACTTTAATCTGCTTGGAATTACTGCACCAGGTTTGGTTACTATTGCTGTGCGAATCATAATAAGAATGATTACCCTCACTGATTCTCTCAGATTTTCCATCCCACTCGGATGCTTTTCGATTAGGCAATGTTGTTTCAACTGTGCACTGTTGTGTTGTTCTCCTTGGTTGAAGAATTGAATTGAAGGGTTGTGCTATGATAGTTCTGTGGGCAAATGAACCCAACTGCTCCCATGTTATTGTGGTTCAAATGTACTTCTGAAGAAGAACTAAAACTCCTATTACCAACATAAAGTCCTGCTCTTTCCCTGTCTACATAATGGTGTGGAAGTTGATCTATTTGAACATCTATCTAGTAGTGATGCACACTTAGGAACGTACTTGAGATCAGTTTTAGTTACTCAGCTACCTGAATAAACATCTTTCTGCTACACCGAACAGTGGGGTTAGGGGATTAACTGCATTCAACACAAACAATTCATAGGTGACAAGCATTGCGATAAGAAGTAGGGTTCCAGGAAATTAGCGAAGGAATTCCCTTTTTTCGAATGGCTTTACTGTTTGATAATTTTGATGATAATTGTGGTCCTGATTTCTGTTTTTGGATTCTTATGTCTATTACTATATGCCTAGTTCCAGTGTCTTACAGACATTTTCCCGAGCGATTGCATTTGACTGCTAGACCCTTAACGACTTTTTCTTGTTGATGTTACCTTGTTGTTTTCTGACTTCTTCCAAAGCATAGTGGATGCTGACTGATCTGTCCAGTCTGACATGTCTTATTATTTAGTGTTAGTAGCCTAAGATATTTATTTTTCATGCAGAGGAATATGGAGGCCTTGGTCTAGGCTACCTGTACCACTGCATTGCGATGGAAGAACTTAGCCGAGCTTCAGGATCTGTTGGTCTTTCCTATGGTGCCCACTCCAACTTGTGCCTTAATCAGTTGGTATAGAAGAGAGCTCATAAGCAATATCGTGATAAAGCTTTCACTTCTCTGCCAGTTCTTGAATGATCAATTTCTTGTTTTAGGTGCGGAACGGAAATCCTGCTCAGAAAGAGAAGTACTTGCCAAAGGTTGTATATCTATCTCTTTTACGTTATTTTGCTTTATTGCAGAGTTCCAGAATTATCTCTTGATGCATGACATATCTAGCAGCTTTGGTGCTTTTTGTTTGGACTCTCCTTTCATTAGCACAAATTTTCATGATGCTGAACAAGAACAAATAAATAAGCCATTTTGCATTGCCATCTCGCTTAATACTTTTAGTCAATGTTCAAAATATCCCTGATAAATTTTTTCCCAAAATATCAAATTCCCATTTCTGGCATCTTATCACACAACAACTAGCACAACTTTATTCTTTCATAGTTTCTGAATGACTGAATTATCTCGTGTTATGAAGCTAATCAGTGGGGAGCACATAGGAGCACTTGCAATGAGTGAACCCAATGGTAGGCTTACACTTACTGTAAACAATCGCATTCTGTATGTATATATGCGCATAAGTGGATCTCCTCCATCAACTAATTCTAGTATTTCTCTATATCCTCAGCTGGCTCTGACGTTGTTAGCATGAAATGCAAAGCTGAGCGCGTTGATGGCGGCTATGTCTTAAACGGAAATAAAATGTGGTGCACAAATGGTCCAGTCGCTCAAACATTGGTGATTATTCTACATCGTTTACTTCGACAATTTTCCAACCATTGGTCTTTTGTTTTGTTCGCTGGTGAATATGAGTATATGACTGTTGTTTATATTTGGGTAAGCAATTTTTAGCTTTTAAGGTTTGCTTTGGTAAGTAACTTCTAGGGAGATTCAGAATGCCATTATCTATTGAATTAGCTACTTCCTAAAGTGGTATATTGAAATCAAAAGAGAACTCGGGCATCAACAGGTTAGGACATAGAAAGTTCTGTTGTTCCTCAAGTTACTTTCACTAATAGGAGCTCAGAGGTTTGGTGGTGCAAGTGCACCGTAGACGGGCTATTACACATCAATCTACTACATACAGAACTGCTTCATTTACTAACTGATTGTAGAAAAGAAACTTGTAATATGTGTCCCCACTAACACAGACCATAGCCACATGTAGGTATGGGGGATGAAAGTTTATTATTCAGTTAGATTGGTGATTTTGATTTGTGTCCTTGTGCAAGCAAATCTTTGAATTCTTGATAGTGAGGAAAATTTTCAACAGATTGTATATGCAAAGACAGATATAACAGCTGGCTCAAAAGGAATCACAGCCTTCATCATTGAGAAGGGAATGCCTGGGTACTTAACTAACTACTACGTCTTTCCATGTGAACATTAGTCTGTTGTTTCTGGGCAAGTGGATTTTGGATCCTTTTCCTTACTGGCGATTGACAGGAATCTTTTTCCTGATGCATGCAGATTCAGTACAGCCCAGAAATTGGATAAACTTGGTATGCGGGGGAGTGATACGTAGGTCAACAATTTTCTTGGTGAAATTTGTTAAATATGCAGTCGATTGGCCTCACCCTCACCCTGCTAATATGGAACAATGATCTGATCAGGTGTGAGCTTGTCTTTGAGAACTGTTTTGTCCCTCAAGAAAATGTGCTTGGCCAAGAAGGGAAAGGTTTGTCTCACTACGACCTTAAGTTTGTGATTGAGAAAACCCTCATTTGAAACAATTACCTTCTGGTCGTAGTATAATTTATTATTACCTCCCAAACTTCCAGCACCGAGAAGTAGTTGTTGATTTATATTAAGAATTAAATCAGTAGCAAGATGGAGCCTAGAAGTTGAAAAAATCACAGTATCCAGACCCATTTGTTGCTGAGATCATAACACTGGAGAACTGCAGATTGCCGTTTTCTGTTGACTTGCATAAAACACAAATGGGCACTGTTCTTTTACTTCTTTTTCACTATCTTACTAGAAGTTCATTGTTTGTTTGCCTTTCATCTTTTCAGGGGTTTATGTCATGATGTCAGGGCTGGATTTGGAAAGACTAGTCTTGGCTGGCGGGCCTCTTGGTATAATGCAGGCATGCCTTGACGAGGTTCTTCCTTATGTCCGACAAAGGGAGCAATTTGGCCGTCCAATCGGTGAATTTCAGTTTATACAGGTCCGCAGTTTTTTCATCTCACCAGAATACTAGTGCTGGTACTTCTGTTGCCTCACTCTCTTATTTGATCTGCAATGTCAGGGCAAAGTTGCTGACATGTATACTTCGTTACAATCGTCAAGGTACCCGATCACAATAGAACAATGTGCTCATATCAAGTTTTCTTATTTAATCTGGCAAGCATCTAACTAATGTGAATTGTTCCAGGGCTTATGTATACTCTGTCGCAAGGGACTGCGATAATGGAAAAGTTGACCCCAAGGTAAACGACTCCTATTTCCATTGCTGACATAACAGATATTACATCATTTGCTATAGCTGATGTTGGCAATATACCAATGTCCCCAGGACTGCGCCGGAGTCATACTAACCTCTGCCGAAAGAGCTACCCAGGTTGCTCTACAGGTGAATACTCTGTCAAAAATCATTTTCTTACATGTAAAGCAAGTCAATGTCTTCCCCCTCTGTAAAGCAAGAACCTCAAACTGATCACACCCCATGCTGCCTGTTTTGGGCTTTATGCCCACCCATCACAGGCAATACAGTGTTTGGGTGGTAATGGATACATAAACGAGTACCCGACTGGCCGTCTTCTTCGTGATGCCAAGCTGTACGAGATCGGTGCTGGAACTAGCGAGATTAGAAGAATGATTATCGGCCGTGAACTTTTCAAGCAGTGAGTGACTCAGTCAGCCGCCCATGACAGCAACACCCAGCTGAAGCCAACCCTCATCAGGACAAAGGGTAGCTCTCAACGTCAATCTTCTCGTAATAAACAGTCCCAAAAACTTTGAACTCTTTGTAGATTCCACCACTACAGCTTGGGATGAAAATGATGTATTGGACCATACCAACATTCTGTCTCCTCGTTGTTAAAACAATTCCAGAAATGGTCGTTTTCTATCCCTGTCAAATTCATACTTAACCGACAGCGACTGCTTTCCACTAATACCCTAGGAAACTCCGGCAGAAGGGAATCTAGCAAGTTACTTAGGAAATGGCTCATACGGCTGAAGAGAATTAGCATCAATGCCGACAAGGCAACGTCTACTGTTTGATCACGTACCAAAAATCCATAACGTGACCCGTCCCATATTACAACATTAAAATTAGGTTTAATCCTGCGAGTACTACACTTATTCAAACATCCTAGACAACCTCTAAGGTGTCATCGTAGATGCTAAAAAAAGATACAAACAACCAGAGCTCAAGATAGCCTAGTGCATGTTTTTGACTTCTCAAGCTTTTGCTACAGTGGAAGAAGAATCCGGCTGGCCAACAGACGATGACTTGGATGCCTCCATTACTGCTGGTCCTTGATCCAAGCAGCTCCGGTTATCGTCGCCCATCATTCCTAGTGTCATCTTCTCCACCTCTTCTTTAGTGTGGATGTGAATTTTCGTCACCACAGTACAGAACTCGCTGAAAACACACCATTTCATGCAAAAGATGAAGGAAAAAATGAGCTTCTTATGTGATAGTGATAGTGATGTCCAAGCCTTTTGAGTAAGTTTAGTGTCACTTACTGCCAGGGATCGTCGCCAACTACCATCACATCATCCTCACTGTCGGTGTACAAAATCCTCCACCCTTTCATGGGATCACGTAACAGACCCTCCATACTAAACAGACGCTCCAGCTCAATCAACAGGTCGTCGTAGCTCTTCAGCCTCGACAGATCAATAGCGCGACCAACCAAGCTGCCTTGCTTGTGCACCTTTCCAAGGCAGGGTTTCAAAAATTCAAACGACAGTCAAGCAAAACTAAAACCAGTGGTGTTTGAGCATGATCTTATAGTTTCTATAATAATTATGTAAGCTTACCTTAGTACAGCTCCTCTTACCAGAGTTTTGTGAGCTTGTTGCTGCTGACACTTCAGCAGCAGTCAACGTGAAACCGAATAGCTTGCATCCAGTGGCATTCCCAGCAAAAGATGCCTCATTGTTTGGGTTCACCTTCGGGTTATGCTGCTCGCTTGGTGGTTGCAGTTTTATCTTCCCAACTTCTTCATCCCCAACATTTACGACGTCGACTTGTATGGGAGATGCATTGAAGTGGAAGTTTCTTGTCACGTAAGGACGAGCTCCAGGATCTTGAACAGTTTTGCAGACATCTCCATAAGGGAAATACAAACTTCTATTCAGACTGTCAGTAGTTGCCAGAGTGAAGAAGTTGTTATTGTTGGCTCTAGGTGGTGTTGGATACATGTTGGGGTTTCTCCAAGCACCAAAATCAAGATCACCTCCTTTGGCTGTGAGGGATCTCAACTGGCATATTTCTTGACCTTGCAAGACCTTTGGGAATCTATCAGATTCCGTAAAGCCTGAGTATATAGCAGCAGGGTGAGGGTGGTGTGGTCTTGTAACAACCTCACCAATGTTCATCATTGCCTTTGGCGTTCCTGCTAAAATGGGATTTTGAAGTCGTCTAGCGACCTCAAAGTCCGATGGTGGACGGTGGTTCGTTGTCTCACGTCCAAACAGAGGTGATGAGACAACAAAACCAACATTTTCTTGACCTTGCAAGACCTTAGAGGGTCTTATGATTGACTCCTCAAAGTCGAGGCACCCGCTCCCTCCTGCATAAATGTGCATGCAAGATTGAAGATTTCATTTGAACTGTAATTAGCTTGTAAGAAAACAAAATGTAATTTACTGCTTTTGGATTCCAACCATTACCGGGTCCAGGGTTATCGGGTGGGATTGGATGCAGACCGGTTCGTAGTTTCTTCAGCCTTGAAGAAGGTTGAATGGTTAACGGTGGAAGGGACACGGAAGGATCAATTTCCCAGGGTGAAACACGATCTTGATGGTTGGGAACCACATTTTCATCCCACCTGACCTGATAGATTGCAGTCATTATGCCCCAACATTAGACAGTCAGGTTTCATTTATGAAGTTATGATTTCACTGCAGCTCAGAATAGACTCTCAGTTTGCTGAACATTTAGAAACAATGAAAGCCAGATTGTTGGGTATATTTGGGGGAGTGATAGCTGTAATAGCATGCTATTGAACATAAACATATCATTTTTCATTGCACTTGTGATGTAGTTGCATGCATTTGACATCTCACATGCAATGCATCACAATGAGACAATCTCAAATGGGTACAAGTTGTAAGTAGCTGAAAATGCACTATAAAGAAGTAGGTCACATTTGCCTGTTCACATGATAGCATAGACTAGTCCATGTAATTGCAAACACGCATCACATGATAGCATGCAACCGAACACACCCTTAAGGAAAAAAGAAGCCGAAAAAGTGAGTGAACAAAATTAAGGTGGTTGCCATCAAGAGATGTGGTAAAAAGAATACTCAGCTACAACGTGGCATCAAAAGCAAAAGTATGATGCCTACCATGAAGCACTTCCATTCCGAATTGGGCCATCTGTAAGGATCGAAATCACTGACTCCTGTTACCACTCCACTACACCTGCAAAACCACAAAAGAAGTCGCAATTTTAATTCTCAACAGTAAATCACAATAGAAAATTTGAGTTGCAGTGTCCAACAGAAGGAAACCTTCTTTCTGGAGAATCATCCATTTCAAATCTCATTCTGAATCTTGTTCCTGGACAAACTGGGTTTGTTATGCTTTTCATATACTTCTGGTAAGGCACAACAAACTCAGAATGACTGGCCCTGCATCCACCAAGCAATTTTGAAACAATTGTGCGTTACTTTCTCATAAGCATAAACCACAACAGCCAAAGAAAAATTCAAGTAACTTTCCCAATGCAATGACATCAAACAGAATTAATATCAGTTCTATAAACTTCATGAACTAACTATACAGTTGACTGCATATGCTTTTGGACCAACCATCAGAAACTGACCATATTTACAGGTTAGCATGCATATGAGACCCACCTCGTATTTCAGCCTAAAAGATTCATGTGGTAAGCATAACCATTTTACCAACAAGAGCATGTTTCATATGAACAAGTTTAGCCATGGAAATCAGAAATTCGGCGGCCATAGCAATAGATGGAACCTTCACCTTGGACTGTAAATAACATTGAATATGCTCTTGGTGGATGTTGCATTAGCCACTAAGGAAAGAACATTGGGGTAAGAATTCTGCTTCTTGAAGACTGCATCAGGAATGCCATTTCTAGGTCGAATAGCCCTTCGGATGCCAAGCCTCAACTCACCATCCTCACCCCTGTGAAGACCAACGGCAGAAGGTTATGAAACAATTGCCAAAATCAGTTTTTTCCCACCCCCTCTTTAGTTCAGTATCTCCATAATTAGCTACTCATTATTCACAAGCCGGTGCAACATAACAAATATCAAGGCTCGATTGGACCATCAAGAATACCAATTGGAAAATAAAAAGGAACATATTCCAGAAACAGAACTATCCCCTTTGAAGCCTACCTCAGAAATAGGACAGCGTCCCCAGAAACAAGGTTCTTTTGACTCACAAAAATGCTCCATCCAGTAGTGAGCAGATGCCTTCTTGGTTGACCTGAAAGGAATTACAATTCCCATACAAAGCATCATATGATATCAGCAACCCAACCAAGCTGCACCAGAAAGAATATAAATAGTCTATAATATATACCTCTATAAATATGTCGAAATCTCCACTCCACTCCATGAAGATCCTTGGCCACGAGCTCTTGTGAAGGTCTTTGCTGGTTGTAATCCTACAGAAACAACATAATCATTCTCGTGTTCCCTTCCAAAGAAACTAAAGAACAAACAAGTATCAACGAAAAATCCATACCAAAGGAGGAAAACAGTCCTCAGCAGCTCTACGAGGAACAGAAAAACCTCCATGGGTGCTAGTATCAGAAGCTGTGAGTGTCTTACAAAACATATGAGGAGTTGATCTTGGAGGGGAATCTCCACCACCATCACCATCCACTCCTAACCCTTCAAGTTCTTTACTTTCTAACTTTCCACCCACCATCTGCACAAAAAGAAACACTAAGCATCTTCAAATCTACTACATGGGGACAAAATCCTTAGCGAACACTACATGACTTCATACATGGTTGGGGGGTGGGGGAAAATTATCCATAACAGAAGGAGCTATGGCAGCAGGCAGTGAGTGAACGTGATATGATACCTCTGGCAAAGGAAGCAAGCTAAGCTGAGTGTAGACCTCATCATTCTCCTTATTGGCCTGATTCCAGAAAAGGAAAGGAAGGGGGCGGAAAGTAGTCCAGAATCATTAAACACCAAACAAGCATGAAAATTGTACAGAGCAAAATGGAAAGACTTTTATCTAGCCCAAGAAAATCAGCAGAAAAGTAAAGGAAAGTAAATGAATTTTCATACAAGTAGGTGAACATTCACAACTTTGCAGAAGATTTGGGGATGAAGACCAAAGGCGGAGCGCATTTCCACATGGGAGTAAAGAGGGGAAGAAGCAAGCTGCTCCAAATGACCCTGAGGGAAGTACACAACCACATTCCCTTTCTTTGGGAGACAAGTGAGAGGGCCAGCGCAGGCGTGCCACAGTTCCAGGTAAATGGTAGATGCCATTGGGGAGTCAGATGAATTTTTGGAGGAACATGACGAAGATGAAGAATTCCCATTGTTGATACTGTTGGTCTTCTTCTTGTTCTTGTCAGCAGCAGCAGTAGTATGGAACGCATACTTCTCCACCTCAGTCACTGCATGGTTCAGATCAATTTCCATGGAACACCCTCCTGTGCCAGTGTTCTAAAAGAACAGAGAAATTCTCCAAGAGCAAAAAAAAAAAGGACTTTACTGTTTATTGGAAAGAGGGTTAAAAACAAAGTTCAGAACTTGAACTGTATCAACCGCATAGCAACCATCCTAACAGAAGGGAATTAGAGAAGGGAAAAGAGGGTTTCAATCCCAGCAATGAAGAAAGAAAGGGGGGAAAGGGAAAGAGAGAATTGTGGGAAATGAGGGTCAAATCATGGGGGGGAAGCAATTGAGGGAGGGAATGGGAAAAGGCTAAAACAGTGGTGTTGGAGAAGAAGATGAAAAGAAAGGAACAAGAAAGGGAAGGGTCATCCTTTATTTTTCATTACTGTTTTCTATTTTTTACCTCTTGTTTTTGTGGGAGAAATGGCGTGCCTGCAGGCGGAGGCAGACACAAACAAAGCTTGATTCTGAGAAGGAGAGAAGAGAGGAAAATGGGAGAGATGATGAAAGGAGAAAAGACTCTAAATGATAACAAGGAATTCAAAGTAGGATTCTTCCTCCTTCTCCACCATTTTTACTGATAAAAGCAGAAGCAGTAGTAGTAGAATCAGCAGCCAGCAACAGGAGAAATAGACAATTGCTTAGGAAACACAGTCATGAGAGGAGGTAAAGCCAAACCCCAGGCCAGAACCAGAACCAGGCAAAAACCCCACCACCACCACCACATTCAGGATCTTTTCCCATTTTTTCTTTGGGCAATTTAGATAAATAAATGAGGAAAAAGGCAAATGTGTGACAGTGGGAGGAACTAAGGACGGATGGATGCTCTTCCTATTGCTATGAGCGAGAAAGGGTTTTAGAGAGAGAGAGGGTTTGGTGTTGGGTGGAGGGGACAAGGCAAGACAGTACATAACCCACACTCTTCCCCACTCCTTCCTTTTCTGTGCTTTGCCTTTATCCCTCTTCTTCCCCTTTCCCTCTGTTTTTCCACCTTTTCTTTTTCTGCTTCCCCCTTCCTCATTACTACTTGACTGAGTCGCTTTTGTTTTCTTATTCTATCTTCAAATTCATGCACTGATTAATGGTGACCGGCTTATTATATAGTTATAAGGTTCTGTCGGAAGAAAAAATCTAGGCTAAAGAGTTCATAAGTTTCTGAAATGGGTAAAAATTGTAGCTGATAAGTTCCCTTCAATGGCATAATAAGCTAACAGGTTGTTGGGTTGATAGAGTATGTTTATGGTTGGTTTTAGTGACGAAAATAGAAAGTTCGAAAACTCATTATTTGTATGGAGTTTTTTAAAGGGAAAATAAAGATGTATACAGGGCTTTCGGGCTCATAATATCGAAGTTCGACATCGGATAGACCTAATATGGGCGGGAGTTGGGGGATTCAAAGTTCAACAAGACCTGTCGTTATTTGTTCTCTTGAACAGCTGATCGAAAACTACATACAGAAACGAAGACACACAATTTTTACGTGGCTTTCGTGAGATCATAACCAGTCAACATGAGAACTAGAGTTCTCCAATTTAGACTTCTTGCGGGGCTACCGGTTCCTTCATCCATATATATATACAGAAACCAAGATCGTATCCTCGTACAAGCATCCACTGGTTAGGAAGACTCGTAATTAACCAAACAACAAAACGAAAACAACGACAGACTGACTATAATGAGATAACGAACAACACAACCGGACATGACGATTCGCCAACACTCGAGCCTCGACAACTCTAATTCTAAGTAGTGATTTCCCAGGTTGTTGCTTGTACAACTTCTTGTTCTTAGCCTCTTATGCTTCCAAAATATCCACACACAAAAATTCCATACTGTATTTCAGAAATCATAGTTTTCATAAACTGCGACATGTGGCGAACCAACCAAATTGATGGTAAATTGACAGAAGCCTAAAAATTTCCTTAAAAATTCCAGCTGCCGAAGAACTGGAAAAGGGTCTGAAAAGGAGCTAAACCTTTAATATTAATAAATAAACAAACACACCCAATTTTTAATATTAATAAAAGAAACCATCTTTGTGTTCCTGTTCTGGGTTTTTTTTAATCATCATCCACCACCAGCAGACAAAAATGGTGGGTGCTCCTACTCTCTCTCTCTCTCTCTCTCTCTCTCGCTCTCTCCCTTCTTATTTTTCTTTTTCTATTTAATTAATTTTGGAAGAGCCATTAAAATGCAACAGAGCAGGAGAAGAGTTTATTGTTTCCTTCACTGTAAATAAAATAATTCTGGTCGCTTATTATTGTTTTTTAATTTTGTTGGTACAATCTGCATAGTGATCACTGAATTTTGCCGGATCTTGATAATAAAATACAATCACAAAGGGACACAAAAAGAAAGGGGAAAAAAGGATGGGATAGGAATTGGATTCAATTTTCTAATTTTTATAAATATAAAAGTTGGCCTCTTTTTGCTTCTTTCTTTGCTTTGCTACAACCTCTCTGTTTCCTCCTCAGCAGTCCTGTTTTCCCACATCATAGACTTTATCCACACCCATACTGATTGCTCCTATGTTTTGTTCCCTGCAATTTTTTATTTGTGAAGATTGTGATGAATTTTTAAAATTGTTTGGAGTTAATCAGATGAAGTAGCCAGTATTCTATATAATGTGGATTCAATTGTAGGATCGTTGATGTCTGCTGGCAACGAGTTCAATGCCCGATTGGTGGAGGTCGAATATGGTAGGTACTACCGTACTAGGTACACAACAAAATCGCGAGGAATTAGTATGATATCGAGGAGGGCTTCTTACAAGATTCTTGTAACCGGTAAAAGTAATCCAATTGGCTCAAAAAGTGAAAACTAAAAAGCTAAAAAGTAACCATTGACATGTATTGGAAAGATGATCCGCCAATGCATTGCATTCTCTCGAATATATACAAAAATCTTTTAACATCCAAATTCGATCAATTAACCTAATAATTTAAGAGATGATTGTGAAGCGTGTATTAGTGTGGCTAACACTATGAATAAGTCTGGTTCCGATCGTTTAATTTGTGTAACTTTTAACAACCGTTTTCTCGGACTTTGAATCCTAAACTCCAAATACTAATTGACTGTTCTTTGTCGCAATAAACACTAAGATGGATTGTCCTCATTGTGTTGATAATGCCTCCCTCCGAAATACAAATTTTTTAAATGATTAAGATTTAAGAGTTATATCTACAAAGTTTGATAGTCATGCACTTTTAAATTCATTGATACATAACCCATTTTTGTATTAATATAAGAAATATTTGAGATCATCCAAAAATTTTAAAAGGAGACGCTCTATATCAGGAACTTCGTGCTTGTGCCATGTTCATTCAGGATTGTATGTGCAGTTTGTTAATAGGCATATAGGATAGTTGATATGGTGGCTAAGAATGCTCTCGTTGATCTAACCAATTTTGATATTTGTAGTTAGCTCTATACATTATTCTAGATGTTATATTTTTACTTTCTTAGTAATACAAACTATCTCTTATAAAAAAAGAGTTTGTAAAAGTTTAAGAAAATACTATAAAGAAGTGAAGATCTCACATTTTTTTTTTCAATTTTCTAAGGAAATTTGTTATACACAAATAAATTATGATATGCGTGATTTCAGACCTAAATTGTTAGAAAATAGAAATACATGCTAAAACTTTTAAAAGTGGCCCGATGATGATGCAATTCAATCTTTGCGAAGAAAACCTCTTCGCCGAAACTTCCACCTCCGCCGTCAACCTCTGCCCTGGCCGGCGGCGTCGCCTCCGTAATTATCAGCTAACATACAATCGTTTATTCCCGAAAAGGATTAAACGATCTATCTTGCAAAAGCATGGAGATGAACATGAACTGGTGAAGCAGTCTGCTTAAATTCGAATTTTCTTTCTGGGCCTTTCTTCTGGGCTGCATTTATATGAATCAAGACGATGGCTGGCCCAGTACCAACTACTTGCACGGCCTGGCCTGAGAATCTATCCCAATTGCAGGGTTGAGCCATTGGATGCCAGCCCAATCTCGGACAATTATTGGATTTCTAATATAGTCAGGACTCACATATTGAGGTGGCTACTCACTTCGGTTTTTCGATTTTAACTAAAACGAACTAGATTAGTAGATTTAGAAGTTTGTTGGTTTATTTTAACAAGAAAAAAATTGATCAATCTTTTTGGTTTTGTTTGATTTTGTGCAATTGACTAATTAGCGACTTTAATTTTCTAATGGTTTTTTCTGTTTGATTAGCTGAATAGAACCATCATCCATAGCCATATCCTCATATCTATCCCAAACACATCGTATTATATAGGAAAACTGAATCGTGCCTTGATTTAGAGTAGCCGATTATATAAAAAAAAACGATATTGATCATTAATAACTCATATAAATTCACTCTGAGTGCATCTATACATTTCACCTGCTAGTCAATCTAAAGGTCCAAAAGTGCCTCCCTCTTTAGAGGAGGTGACAATCACTCTTTGAAATAACTTTGTGAAACACACCTAATAAGTAATAACTATTTCAAACATACCCCAATAAAAAAAATTGTATAAAAACATATTGTAATGGATACCTATCTTTTTTGAATTTGATAGGTTCTAAAATGTCCCGCAAACCGACCACCACCCATCTAGATCTGGATCCACCCCTTGTTCGATGTTCTTTTGCAAATCAAAAGCTACAACATTATGATCCCATGTCTCCCAATCTCCCCCTTCGAACTTCCTTATACCAAAAACCCACATTTGTTGTACCAAAATCTCTCAATTTTTCTGTATTGTGAGGCTACACTAATCACGTCATTAGTGACAAATCGTCCAATTTGAAGAAGACTATATACAACTCTCAAACCATATCACTCTACAATTCTCGCGGGAAGGCAAGCCAAAAACTGCCTTCATGCAGGATCATGTCAAACTTCCATCGTCAAAATGGCTTACATCCTCAGCTCCTCATCAAAATGGTCCAAATGCCCTGTTGTTTCCTCCCCTTTGAATGTCTGCAAAAGTCGGTGATCGAAGAGGGGAACCCATCTGGTCTCTGTAACTCGTGCCCTCCAGCTCAATCTCTGCATCGCCGGAGCCAGAGGACGACGGCGGCGGCGGCGGCCTCGGAGGATGGGAAGTCGAACCCAGAGGAGAGCCATTGGTGTTGTGGCGATGGTGGCTGTTGGTGGGTGAGTGGTGGTGAGAGTAAGAATCAGGAGAAAACGCCATCATGTTGGAGTTTCTGTTTGTGGCGGAAAATGGGGATGATGGCGGGATGGAGCGGCTGGAAGGTGAAACGTTGTCTCGCTTCTTCTTGTTGTTCTGTTTCACCCCTGCGTGCCAATTTTTCAGCATGTTTGCCGTTTGCTGCTCCACCATTACGCCCTTGTACCGCGAACCCATCTGATTTGCGTTTGGTTAAGAGAAGAAGAAAGAAGAAGATTAAGAAGGGAGAGAGATGGAGGATGTAATTGATCAGTTGGGGAGAAAGCTTCAAGAAATCGAAATCCTGAGTAAGTAGTATGTAATTATGTATGCACTACTTACCTGGGTTACTAAAGCGTAGAGCGGTAGTGTTATGTAGCTGCACAAAATTTGTACCATCACCCTGAAGAAAGAAGGAGAATTGGGTAAGAGAAATTTAATTAGGGTTGGAAATTCTAACGAAATTCTGGATGAACGAAATTGGCAGAGGTGAGCATTTTGTTACAAAGTTTTGAAGTTACGTTATCATTTTGAGAGAAAAATTAAGGTGGTGTACTTACGCAAATGCCATTCTGGTGACTATGATCTCCAGGCTTTCATGGTAGCATGAGTGTATCCCAAATTGCCACTGATCGATCATGAAAAAAATGAATTGAGCAGGAAGGATTAGAGTAACCCACATTAATGAAAATCAACAGCAAAATCAAGAGAAAGGATCGATCGATCGCGTACCGTGACCCAGACGAAGAAAGCTAGCTCAAATGCATTCTGCAAATACGTAGAAGACATCCCAAGAAAGACCAGAACGACATTATCATCAATATTTAGAGATTGATTTAAGGATTTTAATTATCAAAGTGATGAAGTGATTGATTGATGAATAATTACCACGAAGAGAGTGTAATGCAGAAGGGTCAACACGAACTTGGGGTGGCTGAACCAGAAGTAGTCGTCGTTGGGCTGGACTACAGGGGCTCCTTTGATCACAGTGTTGTTCTCGCTCAGTTGCAGAGCCATTTTCGCCACCACCACTTCCAGCTTTGTCCCAACAACCAACACGATCTGCATATATTTTCAAGTGCAACGTTCATGGTGGTTGATCATGGCTAGATTTTGAGAATGGTAATTACGAATTTAGTGATCACGACTTACAATCAATGGCAGAAAGGATACCCACAAGTAGACATGCCAACCTGTTGATTGATCGATGCATCAGTTGTTTAAAGATGGCATGGGAGAAATTTTAATTTGGATCGGAACTTTAGTACAATTCAGTGAAAAAAATGCAATACTTACCACGGATGTCACCCAACATCAGGATCACAACTAGCAACCACATTATGGGACTGCAAGAGAGCATTTCAAAAAGCTATTATAGCAACTCTGTTATTTCGATCCTAAAAATTCAGTTGCACTAATAGTTGAGAACTGCGAAGAAATCGTTGCAACTGGGTTGACACGAGACCAACTGTTAAATGAGCGAGGAGTGTGAATGTATAGAGAGACCAAATGAAATGTCACGAGCCCGCCATGACAATCATATGTTATCTCTTTCATCAATCTCATCCAATTGCAACCCATGCATTCCCCTCTTTATTCAATAAACCCGTCTAAATTGTTCCAAGGAGAACTTAGCAAAATGTAATGTAATTAAACTAGTTTGGAATACTTATTCATTATGCGAAAAAGGCGGGAAAATCAATACCTGATTCCTACTACAGATTTAAAATCCTCGTCTAATGATTTCTCTATGTACTTTTGAAAATTGAAGGAGTTATTATTCGACAAGTGAGCCTGCAAAACAAAAATAAAACTTTTCAGACACTTTAAATTACAAGTAATTAACAACCTATATCAGTAAACCTTGATGCATATGCAACTAACAGGAAAAAAAGAATAAAAATTCCTAGACTACAAATAGTCAAATACATAGCACAAATTTGTGGAACAAATTCTGACTTGATAGTTTCTTTTGACAAGGACATAATTAAGTTTTAACAAATCAAACTTAATAAACTAATGACATAAATTATCATGGGAAAATGCCAATTGATTAGTAGAAAAAGGGGTTTGAATTTGCATGTGACTGAGATTGAGTTCGGAAGGAAGGATGAATATAATGCTCACAGCGATGAAACCGTGGCGCAGAGTGAGATAGTCAACTTTTGCTACCGAGTTGAAGAATTGACGGAAGAAGCATTTCTGCATAGCACAAGAAATCAACCACCCAAGCCGCCGGCCGCCGGCCAATCCATTCTCATTAACGACAATCGACGACGAAAAGTATATAAGGGAAAAACAATAGTTAAAGGCGGCCGGAGAGAGGAGGGAGCCCACGTACAATCCAGAGGTTGACGGTGTTGCTGGTGCAACAATTCATGTGCCGCCGCCCGAACGTCGTCTGCCTTGTGTACCTGAATCGGTTTGGATCTGCGCATGCACGTCGTTGTCAACCTAATTAGTTTATTCGTAGTTGATAATATTAATTAAGATGCTGGGAATTTAATCAAGGAAGAAGGGGAAAAAAACATGTAATTAATTAAGTTCTGATTAGACCTGCAAATAATCAATGATGTTAATTGTTGTCGGTTAACTCACCATTGGCTGCTTCGTATTCTACGGTCTGTGTCTCCTTCTCCCAGGCCATCCACCGCCTCATCTTTCGTCCATTAATTATTGTTCATAATTAAGACAAAAATAACAGCAAATAATTAATACTAGGATGGCCAAATATAACACCTAAACTACAAACCAAAACCAACATCCAAATTCCAATCAACTTAGTTGGAGCAATTAATGTATGATTTTGTAATAATTTGTTCCAAACTTTTTGGATTTTAATTCTATGATGCAAACTTGTTCTAATCTAATGTATGCTCTTTTCCTGTTGTAACTTGCTTCCGAAAGTCGTTAAGTTAGGCCCCCAATCAGTTAACTTGGTATGTAGGCATGCAAAATGTTACAATTTTTTCCTCTTTTCTCTCTTAACTATTGACAAATTTTGCCGCGTATAAGCTATTGTAACGATATCGACGATGATTTATAGTACCATTAGCTCCATGATACAACCTTCAAATAATTATTTATAATATCCTATTGTATTTTGTAACGATCGGGTGGAATAAAACCAAATCGATTATATTTTTTTGTAAATCAGATCAATCCTCCTAGTCCTACCTAACTGGCTGAATCCGACCCTTACCCACTAAAACTTTAAACATGGACAAAAGGAAAACCCAAAGGCGCTTTCCGGAAAGATTAGAATGGAAGGAAATAATTTATGGGGTCCATATGGGAGAAAAAGAAGAAATGTGGGGACCCTAAAGGACATTTAATAATTGGCTTTATAGTTTATACAGAAAGAGGGAGGCAAATGACAAAAAAAATTAAGTTACCCCGTCCAGCGAGTCAAACAAAACGGGGGCTGTGCAAAACGGTGAATCCCGCAATCAATCTATTATTTTAAAACGGTCAACCCCGTTTCTCGCAAGTCCGTCAGGAGACGGCAGCCGAGTAGCCGACACGACACCACCGATCGTTTCTGTTTCATAAACGGACAACCTGAGCCAGACTTCCATTTGTTACATTCACAGTACTACTACTGTGTAATGTGAAGTGATCGAACGGACCGTGTAATCAAAATTAATTAGTTAATAATATTCTTACCGTAGTGAATTTTACGAGGAAAATCTATCAAATATGGCAAATTGAAATTTATAAAAACCCGACAAATACTCGAAAACGTTAAAAAAATGAGCTTGTAATTTTATTCATGACCTTCAAAAGAGCAAGACATAAATGACGATTACCAAAAAAACGAATTCAAGTTTGTACAAATTTCATCTCTAGAAGCCTGTGAAATAGTGAGTTATTATGAAGTTAGTCTTATTAAATAAAATGCCGGGAGAAAGAAATTAGTGGATTATAAATTAGCCTAGTTGGCAAAAACTACTTGCATAATTTAAATTATAATTAATGACTGAACTCGATCCACGGCCAGTTGTGCTGAAAAGAAGCCGGCAGGGGCGGTGCACATTTTTACATTTTACGAGGAATTAAGAAAAGAGCATTAAATCAATTAGTGGACTAAAGTCTAAAGTCTAAACAGAAGCAGCCTGAGGGAAATTTTACATTAAACTAATAACATCATTAACTAAGTAATCAAGGGGGAGAATAGAGAAATTAAATTAAATTAAATTAGTTTAGTTACCTTGGCCCTACCCAAGGCCATGGTGAGGACGCTGTAGACGATCTGCATCGCGGCCATTACGAAGAGGAAGATGCTCAGCTGGTTCAATCCGGCCTCTGTTATCAGAGCGGTCTTCCCCTGCAATCATCGATTAATCAACACCCAATCTAAATTAGAAAGAAAAAATGTAGATTGATTCGATGAAAGAAATTGCAATTAGATTGTAAAAATTGTTTAATTTACCTTGCTGCCACAGTAGTCCTCGCCCTTGTCGTCGTCGTCGTCAATTTCGACGGTACGCTTCGTCCGGCAGGGGAGCATCGTGGCGGCGGCGCCGTTGGGGATGCAGATTTTGGCGATGTACTTCTGGGTTACCGTCAGTATCAACGACATGAACCCCAACACTATCATCACTGTATTCCAATCGACCAATTAGCCCCAATTTTTTCTGACCAATTTCTGTGGGGGGAAAGGAGGGAAGGAAGGGAAGGAAGGAACTGACCGGACTTGAGCTTGTCGACGGCCTCCACCAGCGAGTTCTTCTTGTGCTTCTGCAGCCACTGCAAAAACCCAAAACGACGGCGAATTGGAAGAAGGGGGAAATGATGACAGGAGGGAAAAATTGACGAATTAGTGGATGGGATTGGTTGATTACGTGGGAGACGAGGTGGATGAGGTGCTCGATGAGCAAGGAAACGGCGATGAAGACGAAGCAAACCATGGCGAGAGCCCATGTCGGAGTGTTTTCCAGTGACCGGTACTCGCCTTCCCCGCCGCCGGCCATTGATACCCACTAGCCCAGTATGCAATCGCCGGCTAGCTGGGATCCGTCTGGATTAATGAGTTCTGCCGGATTGGGACGGAGTCCTGGAACCAGGGAGCACGGAAGAAGAAGATGTATACAATGTTGAGAAGATAGAGAAGAACGCTTTGTTAATCTGTATGGTGTATTTTTGTTCTAGATTTTTATATCCAAAGTCTATCATCACGCGCTAGCCTACCTAGCTGCCTTGCCTTGCGATCTAGTGAAGGTAGATATATGATGATAATTGTTGGGCTAATTACCAAAGACTCCCTAGCCTACATTTAGTGGAGTTTCGTCTTTGATTTGAAACGTTCCTTCTTGGAAGAAATTTGACTTCTGCGTCCCGGACTGGGCCAAAAAGAGTAAAAATTGCAGCCAAGTTCTCTGCCTTGATATCAAGATGCATACGCCATTGTCTCAATGCGACTTTTTTTTTTTTTTTTGTCGATCCAAAATGACGAGTGGGTGGGTACCTCTCGCGTGATATTAATGATATGGAAGTAGAAATTTCAATCGTATTATACGAAATTCGTCGGAATATCTAAATTGGTATGTGGAATGTAATGTCAAATGTGTAGGAATAGATAAAACTTTTATGAGTCAAGTAGTATTGACGAAGGAATTAGCCTCTCGGTAGATGTGAATGGTGTGAACGGTCCTAATCATGTTGTAGCTTGTGAGAAGCTGTAAAACCAGGCTGGTGTGTTGATGAGCAGGGATGTCGTCATGAGCTAGCAGTAGCGATGTCGTCTTTGTAGAATATGGAAACCTAATTGCGATAGGCAAACTGTGATGCTAGTTGGAGACCTTTAATGACCCCCTTAAGCTGTCTACTTTGCCGGCTCGATGAACCATCAAAATTACGGATAGTAATGTAATTAATGAAGAAAAAATCCAATTGAACGAAAGTCCGATAACATAAGTATCCATAAATTCATGAACATAATTGTAAATAATCCCTCGGTAAATTCATATATTTAATTGAAGAATCAGTGATAATGCTGGGTCTGCTGTGGTCGTTGTGGGGATTGGCTGGCCAATGCCCAATGGAATCAACTAATTTGATTTGGATGTTAATCGGAAACAACGACATTTGAGATGTACTGCTCCTATTTCATCCTTTGAACGTTTGGCATCCGCCCGGCCCGGCCCGACTCTGATGCTGGAGCTGGGCTGGTAGTGTTGAACTCTTCTCTTCGTCTTCTTTGTACATGAAACGAACCAGCATATGTTTGACCGTGTCAACATTGTCAATGTCAAAGCAAACTTAGCTACGTAGTGTTTGCATTTCTCGTCTATTGTTTCCCTTTTTTTCCAATTGCGCTCTAAATTTGTCTGTCGGATCTTTTGAGGACTGGGTTTCTGTTTTTGGTATATGATGGCTCGGCTCAAGATAGGGTGCGTAACCCATCAATAACCAAATCTAGACCCTCCATTTAGAAAATCCAGATCTAAGGATGGAGAATTAAAGATAATTTTTATTTTCACTAGCTTTCTTAATTGACTCATATCTTTTTCGTTTTAACTCCGATTTTAATTTTTTTTGCACAGATGGAACGAGTTCATCGTGCTCTACAAAATGAGATCAATTTCCAATATTTTTTTAGGGAAAAAAAATTCTGGCCTCTCGGCACCAACTGCATACCATATGGTATCTTCTTCGTTTTTCATTCGTTTTTGAAAACGTTTGCACAGCAGGGACGAGTTCATCATGATCTATTGGATCTACAAATTTCTGGGTGAACAAATTACAAGACCAAAAAATACCACACAATACCATACAATACCACCCTGGTACGGGGTGGTATTTTATGGTATATTACGGTATACAATGTTAAAAGTCGTAAATGACAATTAATATACTTCTACTATCATGTATTCAATCATCCTACAGTCTTCGTTTGTTCATACCACCATGGTACGCTTTTCAAACCATACAATACCACCCTGGTACGGGGTGGTATTTTATGGTATCTTATGGTATACAATGTTAAAAGTCGTAAAGGACAATTAATATACTTCTACTATCATGTATTCAATCATCCTATAGTCTTGGTTTGTTCATACCATCATGGTACGCTTTTCAAACCATAGGTATGCTCTTATTTCAATACCAGTCAATACCATATGGTATAGACTGGTAAAAAATGGCTCAATTTTTTTTTTGCTCGAAAAATATATCAAAGTGGATATCATTTTGAAGAGCACAATTAATCTGATCTAACTGTGCAAACAAAATTAAATTTCGACTTAAAACGAGTGAGAAATCGTCCGTCAAAGATTAAGGAGGAGAAAATTAAAGGTTTTCCAGGAGAGAGAGAGGATGCTGATGTCATGCTGAGGTCGTTTGGAAGTTGCGTATGTTAAATCGTTGTATTATTATGAATCACTATGATATAAATGCATGCATTGATACAATAGATGTATTTTGAAATTACATTGTTTGGTTGTTGAGATTATAATTTATGAATTGATTGTTATAAAGTTACTTTATAAGTAAATGTCATATTTGTCCTCCACTTTTAATATAAAACAAAAAGAACTATGGACATAATTGGAAAAAGTAGAGGTGCTCAATTATTAAACCAACAATCACAACAATCTCAACTTTTAGTTGAGATTGTACAATCCCTCATTTTTGTTGATTGTTGGTGGGACCCTCACAAAACAATACATGCATTGTTTTGCAACTTGACACTTCCAAACGTTGTATTGTAGACAATGCATGTATTTAACAAATACAACACTAACAATCGTAACTTCCAAACGACCCCGCTGATGTGAGCGGGTTACTCATAGTTACTCACCATAAGTTACTGACGTGATCCATTCCCATGATGGCTCCATCAATTAATTAATTGGTCTGTTCTGTTCTATTCTCTGATATTTGTCATTTTGATTAATAGTTTTCCACCGACTCCTTCAGTCTCCGAGCCCAAGGGAATAAGTTAAAGCCGGACCGTTGGAATGGCTTTTGGGCTGGGCCCTCTTTTCATGGGTCCAAAATTATGTCCCTCCCAATCCGTCATAAAATGATCAGCATTGACCCTCTCTAATTTGGGCTTTCTTTACGCTCTGTTTGACAACAAGGGGTGCAAATTGCAGGAGGGTGCAAGTTGAGGAGTAAATTGCTGGGGGTGTAAGTGGAGGGGTAAATTGTTGTTTGGATGAAAAAGTAGGGGGTGCAAATAAAGTGCAAAGTAAGTAATTATATTATTTTAAAATAGATTTTAAAATTATAAAATAGATTTTAAAATTTTAAAATATTATCATAAAATAATAAAATAAATATTACTATATAATAATAAATGTACTTTACTAAAAATAGTTATTATATAATAATGCTCAAATAATAATTAATTATAACAATTGTAATAATCATCGATCGAGCGATCTCAAAACTCGAAACTCAACTCGTAACTGGTCATCCTATATAGGGTTTTCGTGTCTAGTTTAATCTTAAATTGTCAAACTTAATCAAACACATTCGAATTTGTAAGTTTTAACTATTTAGTCAAATAAAATGAGTTAACCAAACCATTTCTCTCTATCTTTTCCACAAACACCTTGTATATCTAATTTTCAATGCAAATTCGATTCAACCAAGAGATCTAGATTTGACTTGACGAACATTTATAAACTTATTTCCAGAGTCAAATGGTCAACCCCGAATAATGTTTACATTAATGATATTTATAAAAAGAAGAAATTGATAATATTAATTATTATATAATTATATATAACACAATTAGAAAAACAAAATTCCATAATTCCCCCCTCCCCCTCTCTTCCTTCCTTCCTTTGCACCCCAATTCGGGGGTAAGCCGAAACAGTAAATTTGCACTCTCGTTTTGCACCCCCCTACTGTTCCAAATTAACCAAACAGGTGCAAATGTGTTGGAAACTGTGTTTACCCCTCACATTTGCACCCTCCTCCCATTTACTCCTCTTCCCAAACAGAGTGTTAGTATTCCAGTATTTTCTGCTCTTGGTTGTATAGGTCGATGGTTCTGTTGCCCTTTTGGTTGATCCATTGTTGGGACTCAGTTGACTCTCAAAATAAATAGTTTTTGCTTGAAGTTTAATCAAATCAACATGGCAAAGTTTTTAAAAGTATGCATAAGTTTCGCATCAATCTAATTAGGGGTGGCTATTTGTTCCGGCTTTTTTGGTTTTACTCGAAACCGAACCGAGACCATATAGTAAACAATCCAATCTCATTTTCGGGTTTAGATTTGAGGTAAAAAACCGTTCGAGACCGGACCGTAAACCAGATAAAGACCGGATAAGAGAGCCCAACACCCAAAATTTAACCAACTCGTCACCCTTTCAGCCCTCATGTCACTCAAATCCCCACAAACTGAATCTAAAATCCAAATCGAATTGGGACCGGACCGGATCAAGACTAGACTGTATCAAATCCAATCTTTGGTCCTTATATTCCCGAAAATACTGGATTGGGACCGGATCAATTCGGGCCAATTTAACCGGACCGGACCGTGTAGCCACCTCTAAATCTAATACCACTCATAAAAAGAAGAGACTACAATCCGAGAATAAACAGGAATGAAAGAGGACATATTGATCCAAATCATGGCGGCAAAGGGATACCCCTAAAACAAATGATCAATAGTTTGTTCACTCTTGACGTATATTGGGCATTTGCTCGTCATGAGGCATGAGTCAAGATTTTCATGTTAGTTTGTCCTGGCCGATGATTCACTTGTGAATAGAGTGCGATACAAAAGGTCATAATTTTGACTCGTAACGCTCGAGCACCAAACCAATTAGGATGGAAAATCCGAGACTCCTCCATGTTGGCTTAATTATAATCCTTACTCGGTAGCAACATTCAAACTGTGCAATGAGAAGATGGAAGAGGATACCACACCATTCTGTTAGGTCCTGCAGCCTGCCACAATGAATATTATGCTGAAAATAAGGTAAGGACGCATCCCATCACTCGCTTTTACTCTTACTCTCACATGTTACCACGAAAAAGTCACTCATGCGACCAACAGGGACAATCGATTTTTCAAAAAAAAAAAGCCAAGAAATCGAACTACCCTACAAACCCTTTTACCATCCAAGCTACAAAATCGAAACTTAGCAGCAGACAAAGTCAAGTAGCTAGCTCCCTGGCTCATGGCCAAAATTGAAGTGTGAATGAAATACGTACGTACGACAAGACTTCCACTTCATTCCCCATATATAGCGTGAGCGGCAGTCATACCTCTTTTCCCAACGTGTTGTTGCATTCACATTCTATCTCGTCACAATTGACTTGGTTCAAGTCCCTAACCACTCAGTCCATTGTGAAAATTTCTGGGTGGACCAGGACCAGGATTGTCCATGAACCACATGAATTCTTCCGTTCAGGTCAAGTCTATCAAATCCAAGTGATCATAATTCCATTACGTAGCTCTGTGGACTACTCAATTAAGATTTTTGGGCCAAGTTTGTGGGCCTGCCGATCCGATTCGATGTAGGCTCTTTGGATTTTGCTTCACGCAATAGTATAGCATGGGCGAAGCTTTCATGCCATGCAATAACCGGACAGGAAGGGAGAACAGGTCTGCTTTCATGAGTCCGGCCCATTGAGAAAAGACGGATGCAAGTTGTTCCATCTTCAATGCTATAGAGTACTAGCTAGGAGAATAGAAGAGGTAGGGAATTGGTTAAAGAAAACTAATAGCTCTATAAGATTAAGCTGGCCGGTTACTCATCTAGTTTTATGATAAGTTCTGATTCAGAGTACGAAAACATAATCACAACGGTAGTAATAATATCAATTAACCACGAAATCATGTATAATACTATTAATTTGAGCCAACCTGTCGGGGTTCACGATGAACTCTGATGGTTCGCTTTTGTTAAAATAGATTTGTCGATCTAGAACCTTCAACCACTTAAAAATCTGTGTTAAGTTTGGTTTGTGATTAATTAATAATTATGTTGGATTCTTTGAGCAATACACTTGTTCTTCCCTTCATTTCCCCCTTTATCCCCTTGTATGTAATATAAGTATGTTGCATGTATACTGTAATAGTAGACTTTTTTTGTTGACATTAGAGTAGTTTTAATACAGAGGTCTACTCTCTCGTCCTCATGGAAAAACTTTGGGATCCATCCTAATCACATCGATATGGCGATGTAGACATGCTTATAGGTAGAGGTGGACTACACTCCAAAACCTAGATAGCTACACTATGACCTTAATCTTAACCATTTTTATCTCTAATAGGATAATTTACCAATCAATGCTGTAACACTATAGAGATTTAGGGGTGAAAAGTTCGGTCGGTTCAGTTATAATCGATAACCGAATGGTCGGTTATCGGTTAAACCGAACCACCTTCCACAGACCGAAAGAGGTTTTAAGGCTTCGGTTATCTCGATTTTTGATTAACCGAGCTGCCCTCAAGACCAAAATCACTTCGGCTATACCTCAGAATATCGATCGATTTTCGGTTATCTCGATTTTTAGTTAGCGGATAGCAGGCCGATTTCGATTGTAACTGGTCGGTTTACCGCTAAACGGTAACCGATTGTCCACTCCTAAAGAGATTAAACAGAAAAATGACAATAAAAAAAGATGTTTTAAACTTTTAATACAATGTTGTAGCTCTAATTGAATATTCACGCAATATATAATACAATTCCAGACTTTCAATACTCACACCACATATTTTGAATATTTATTGGAGAAAATCTAATGTTCACGTGTTGTTTAAATATTCTCATCATATTATGTGAATACGAGAATTAGTGTATATGACGATTATCATATTTTATTTTGAAAAGTGTATACAAAATATCTATATTTATGTTTCTAAATTGAAAAAATTTGTTCTGAGCAATATGTTTCATCACAAAAATATTCTAACAAATATCGCTATAAAATAAAAAAGGATGTAATTAAGGACCGTGTGTCGAATTTCGACCCCCTCCCATGACAAAACCTTGTCGCAGATTTTATTTTTCCGGTTGAAGGGACATCATCTATATATTATCTGCTCTGAATCTCGTCTCACACAATTTTGTTTTTCGGATGAATCGTAATAACTTTATAGTACATCATCCATCTCAGCACTCCTACACACCGAGCATCATTAGCTATTAAGTTCATACAATAACTTTTTCATTCCATCCAAAACGTGTGTTGTCTGTTAAAATACAATTATTTATTATTATATATTATCCATAAATGTCTCCTGTACTTTGCCGATATAGAATCAGTCTAAATTATTACCGAATCGATACAGAAATTTTAAAATTTGTAAGATAATATCGGTAAAAACAATTCGTTTCAAAACCGTAAAAAATCAGTGGGCTGTACCTGTATAAGCCTGATTTTTAATTTGGGTTTTGATAAAATCAAACCCCTACTACTCTAGCTCCTGGACCTCGGTCGTAGGCCCCACCAGCCTTTACGTACCTCCCATATTTGTCTTCCGCGTGGACGACAAAGTCAAAGTCATCATCATCCAAGTTCACATAACCTTTTTGTTCATTCTCCCGACGTCTCCTCAATTTTTACTTTTTTTTTCCAACTTTTACGTAAGAAATAGTTTTACGATCTTCCTCTACTTTCTTTTGCGCTGTCGTCTTTCGTCTCTCTATATATATCCATTCTCCAACCTCGGCTGCTTAAATTCAATTCATTTCGTCACCTTTCAAGTCCCAACAAGCTATTCCTCTGTTTCTTTCTTCTTAATTTCCAATATTCTCCTCCCTCCCTCGTATCAATCTATATCATTAATATTGATCGCCGACCATGGCCGGAGCAAGCGGGGGGAGGTCACTGGAGGAAACGCCGACGTGGGCAGTCGCCGCCGTTTGCTTCGTGCTGGTCCTCATCTCCATCATCATAGAGCACATCATCCATCTCATCGGAAAGGTAACTTTTTTTTGTTTATAATAAAAGTGACAAAGATTTGTTTTTATAGTTAAGTGATACGTAAATAATTTTTCAACTACAGTGGTTGAAGAAGAAGCGAAAGCGAGCTGTACACGAAGCACTCGAGAAAGTGAAATCGGGTAAATTTAGTGATCATTAGTTCGATCGGCCGATTTTTCTTGTACTCGTTATTATTCTAACAATTTCTCCGACGTGCTACGTGGCAGAGCTGATGCTGCTGGGATTCATATCGCTGCTTCTGACGGTGGGACAAGGCCCGATTTCACGAATATGTATATCGAAGAAGCTGGGAGCGACTTGGCACCCATGTGGCAAGAATAGGCAGGTCGATGATGAGTCATCAACTGACGGAGACAGCCGCCGGCGGCGGCGGCTCCTGTCAATGGCCGCCGATCATTACTTCAACTCATCCGGTGGAAAGATCGTGAGGCGGGTCCTGGCCGGCGGTACCGAAGACAAATGTGCGGCGAAGGTACGTACATCGACGACCAGTCTATTTATGTTGTTGTTCTACACATAAAAAAAACTATTTACTGTGAACTGACGACTGACGTATCACGTATGTACTAATGTACGATACCTTAAAACCAAAGAATAATAATTATTAATTGATTTCCACATTTTAATTTATCCCGGAATTTCAACATGTGGAGCGGCGGCCATGAATTTTCACCGTTTCCAAATCGATAACCGGAAAGCGACTGAATTCTTAATTAGGTAGAAGTGTAGAAATAACTATTGGTAATTAAATAAATAGCTAATTAATAAATTAATTGGATTGAGCAGTAAATAATGATAATAATATATATGTGGATGGTAACAGGGTCAAGTGCCATTTGTGTCGTCGGATGGGATTCACCAGCTGCACATTTTCATATTCGTGCTCGCCATTTTCCACGTTCTTTACTGTGTCCTCACTATGGCCCTCGGCCGAGCTAAGGTAAAACAAAAAATAATTAAATAATATATTACTTATTAATTGTGCTGCCGATTGATTTTATTCCATTTTGTATGTTGTGAATTTTGTACTAACGCCGGCCGGCGGGACATTTTGTTGTTGCAATGATATGATATAGATGAGGAGCTGGAAGGCCTGGGAGAAGGAAACAAGAACTGCCGAGTATCAATACTCCCACGGTACTATCTTCTTGGTTCATTTTTGATTATTTTCATTATCAAAAGAATATCAAATTACGGTTTTATAATTTATATAATTACGAATTCCACAGATCCAGAGAGATTTCGGTTTGCAAGGGAAACGTCGTTTGGGAGGCGGCATATGAGCTTCTGGACCACCACGCCGGTTCTCATTTGGATTGTAAGTAATTTCATAAGTAATCACAAATTATAATAAAAAAAAGTTTATTAGAATGAGCTAGATTGATTTCTATAGTTAGCTGTTACTGAAGTGATTCGAATCGGGAACCTCCCAAATCAAATTATAATCAAATATTACTATTTTAAATATGCTATATATCCCACCGTAAATTACACATAACTCCGTTCGACACGCGGCTCGTAAAAACACATAACACAACTACATGCATGCATTCTTGTAAAAAGTGTATGATGTTTGTTGCTTCGTTATGCGTTATTATATATATATACCTATGTTTTATTTAGCATGAATTTTCCAAATTTAGAACCTCAAACTCTCGTTGGTAATTGGTGCTAGTTGTACTTACGGATCCTATATGTGTCATTTTGATTTCGGTCGTCTCCTTCAAATCTAGATCAGTACCCTGAAAGTGAAAGATCGGTCCCCTTTGAGAAAATTTAGATAAGTGTGTTTAAGCAAAGAAGTCATCAACATGGTGACTTAGCTAGCTTGCCATGGTTCTGCACCCACCATTTTTGTCAACAACGGGACAACCCTCCATTAATGTTTGCTTATGAACTTGAGAATTGTTGATTGATTGTCCCACTTCTCCCAAAGTTTGTTTCATGAATGAATACGTATATTAGCAATTGTCACAATCGATCTTGGTCATCTCAATCAATGTTTTGCAACTTTCTTGCTACTTGTTTTGCATTCTGTACTAGCATGCATGCGTGTTTTAGGGTATGGGACTGTGACCAGCGTCGTTGTGTGTATCTTAACTTATGTTGTACAAGTGTGACCCTTGGTTTTCTAAAGGGAATACACTTCTCGCGTGTAATCAATCATCTGTCTATAGAATCGTTCATTTGTAAGGAGATAAAAAAAAAGGTTAACTATGATATGATCACCTGCTTAACTTGTTTCAAATGGAGAACAAAATCAATGTTATTGTATAGTAGAGTCGTATCAAACACCAAAATCAACCCAAATTATGATGAATTGGGCAACAAATTAAGTCCATATGTAAAAATCAAGGGCAATAACATCTTATGGGCCGTTTGCTTGTATGATTTGAAAATGAGGGGTTCTGAGTTTTTGAAAAATCTTTGAATATATGATGGATCCCACGGATTCGAATTCCCTCAATCAGATCCTAAATAAAATGTACGATTTTCAAATTCGTGGGTTTCATAAATTTTGAATTAAAAAGTCCGAATCCGTAAGACCCACAAATTTAACTATCAATTTTCCAAAACCAATTTTTTTTTTTAAATCCATCGTACTTAGAATTTGAGTAACACATCTATCACCTAAATCGAACAACCAAATCACCCCCTTAACATCAATGCTAATATCTTCTTCACCGACTTGTGTGGACTTTTTCATCAAGTCATTAACTCTTAGCTAATTTGGGTTTGCATTCATTATTGATAGGTGAGCTTTTTCAGGCAGTTTGTGAGGTCCGTTCCTAAGGTCGACTACATGACATTGAGGCATGGCTTTATCTTGGTAATTAATTTCTAACCCCATAATTAACCCAACAATATTCAATTAGAGATGTGTACCTATATTATTAATTGATCCACATGCATGCAATCAGTTGATCATTTTTTGTTGTTGACTTAATACGTACTTAGGCACATTTGGCACCTCAAAGCCAGACCAGTTTCAACTTCCAAAAGTACATCAATCGATCTTTGGAAGAAGATTTCAAAGTCGTCGTTGGAATAAGGTCAGTCTCGCCAATTTAATTATTTCGTAGATACACAAAAACAATTCATTAGTATTTAATAATCGCAGTTGAACAATCAGCAGAACCAAGTATAGATTCCTATTGCATCATGATATATATTTTCTTTGACGAATCGGTTTGTTTGCTTGGTCAATTTAAATCTTTTTCTTTTGCAGTCCACCGATATGGTTCTTCGCGGTGCTCTTCCTCCTCTTCAACACCCACGGTGAGTAGTAACAATTGTATTAATCTTCCAATCAAGACTAATGATTATCTACCGTCTTACAATTAATTATATTGATATTTCAAATATTGAAATTGGTTTTTTTTTTATAAAATTTTAGGGTGGTATTCTTACTTGTGGCTGCCCTTCATCCCTTTGATCGTGAGTGTCCCAATCTATTATTAGCTAAAAATTGAAATGAAATTCAGAATGATCTAACGGTTACTAATGAGTTCAAAATTTACCCGGCAAATAATGGACGGTCACAGATTATCCTGCTGGTGGGGACGAAGCTACAGGTGATCATAACCAAGATGGGCCTGAGGATCCAAGAACGAGGGGAAGTGGTCAAAGGCGTCCCCGTGGTCCAACCGGGCGATCACCTATTCTGGTTCAACCGCCCTCGTCTCCTCCTCTATCTAATCAATTTCGTTCTCTTCCAAGTACGTACATTACATCCCTTGATTTCGCCCACTTTTTAATTTCTTGTTGGGCAGAATTGGGTCAATTTGAAGACAACATTTATTAGAACAAATCAGGGGTGCAATCATGGTCCATGCATGCAGCCTGGACCATGATTTTATTGCCGGTTGATTTTGGGCCTAATTTGGATTTTCCATTTGTGTTTTTGTCTTTCTCACTTGTGGGCCTGTGGCTACAGAACGCCTTTCAGCTCGCTTTCTTTGCATGGGCCTGGGTAAGCCCACCTTTCTTAATAGTCCTCTTTAGTCTTTGCCCTCTAGTTAATAAGGCTTCCACGACCAACTAATCTTGTTTGGTTGCTGCAAATGCAGAAAGAGTACGGGTTGAAATCCTGCTTCCACGAGCATTTGGAGGACATTATCATCAGAATTACCATGGGGTACTTAACCTATTTCTCATCTCTAATCAATCAAGAGGGAAGGATACCTTAATTTTTAAGGTCATGATGCCCTAATTATTGGTTTAACTCACTTAAAAACTCCTGATCTCTTTGACAGGGTGCTCATACAAATACTATGTAGCTACGTCACTCTTCCTCTCTACGCCCTCGTCACTCAGGTTACTATTTCTCCATTATCGAACAAAACATTTTACTAACAACAATCATATTAGAAGCTCATTTTCATAATAATGTTTTAAGGACAATTTTCAACGCAGAAGTAACACTGTTAATTCTTCAATTCGTGATTTTAGTCCGTAAATTTATACATTAGATTCATAGAGAGTATAACTAATAACTTCGACACATTTGTTTCACCACGATCTCTTCTCGTCTCTTGATTGGCAGATGGGGTCGACGATGAAGCCGACGGTATTCAACGAGAGCGTGGCGACGGCGCTGCGGAAGTGGCACCACACGGCCAAAAAGAACGTCAAGCAGAGCAAAGCCGGCGGCGCCTCTTCCACCGGTACGCCGGCGTCGAGCCGCCCCACCACGCCGTCCCACCACCACAACCTCTCCCCCATCCACCTCCTCCGCAACCACCGCGCCTCCGAGTTCTCGGCCGCCGACAGCCTCCAGAGCACTCCCCGGCGGTCCAATTTCGACTGGTACGGCGAATCCCCGTCGCCGACCGAGCACCAGCACTACGGCGCCAACGCTAATTATTACCTCGAGGAGGGCTCGCCGTCGCAAGATCGCCGCGAATTGCAGTTACAGACGCGGAATCAGAACAACGGCGCCCCTGAAACCCCCGCGCCGTATTACGTGGAGCATTTCGACGGCCAGGAAGAAGATTTAGGAATAGAAAGACAAGGGGGAGAGGGATTCCCAGGTCGGATTCAGGGGGTTGCGGCGGATCCGCAACCGGAGCGGATGCAGCACGAGATCGACATAGTGGGGAAGGAATTTTCGTTCGATCGGAGAACCGGTATATGAATTTGAGAGGAGAAAAGAGATGGCTAGGGATTTGGAAGTTCGATTCATTATAAATTTATAATTTAGGGATGACCCGACCCGCCCGCTCATGAGATATGGTAAATTGGCAGAGGCGGAGATATGGTTTCATTATTCTTGTATTTTGTGTAAATTTATTCTTTTGTTTCCAATATTTTTCTTCTGTTTTTTTGATGAATTTAAAACGATAGACGAGAAACAAGTGAACAATTTGCACTTTGTGCTTGGTTGTTCAATTTTCCTTTCTTGTGAACTAAAGAAGCTGTTTATTTAAACTTTGAATTAGAACAAATGATTGTTAAATTAAGTTATTACTCTATTGAGGCAAGGTTTATATTCTATTGGAAACATGTAAATTTGCATAGTTCCGACTATATTTTCTAATTGCAAAGCGTTGGTTGAGATATTGAAAGCCAACTTGAACCTGTAGCCATGACGTTGTTACACTATCCTCTCTTCCATAGTCTAGATCCTTCAAAGATCAGTCACACTATCCTCTCTTCCATAGTCTAGATCCTTCAAAGATGAGTCTAGATTCGTGTTTCTTTCACCGATCCTAAATGATTTCATTACGAGTTTGTTTGTTTGATGGATTTTGTCAAGGATTTGATGATGAATATGGATCCATAACGGATTTTGTCCAAAATCCATTGTTTCATTCAAATATTTAGAGGTAACAGATCGTGGGGACCCATTGACTTTGAGGGACCAAATTCGTGGGCCACACGTACTTGAAAATTCCACCTCTTTAGGTAGGAATTGATCGTAGATTTTGAAGTTCATCATTTTTTACCAACCTACCCCTCTTACTTTTTTTCTCTTCTTATATCATTAAGGACAATAAAACTAAGTTTCACTTCATACATACAAATTTAACTAACAAAATCCATAATGAAATCAATGAAACAAACAACGATATTTTTTCAAATCCATAATAAACCCAAAACTCTCATATATCCATAATTCCAAAACTTTCAATTTTTATATCCACGAAACAAACTAACTTGATAAATAACTGATCACAAAATAAGCTTACTCCTATAATTATTATATAGGTAAACCACGAGGAAATCAACCACCATGCCACATCCTTGTGGTTCAAGCGGCACATAAATGTATGTTATTGCATTGGAACATGGGCTGGGCTGGGCCTCGACGCCATATGGCGTGGCTCGTCGGTCGAGGTTTTACGTTACAAAGTCACAACCATATCTCCAGGCTCCAGCCCATTCTAGAGCATAATCAACCATCAGAAACTCCTTTTTCTTTTGTCCAGAGGCACAAAATGACACAGCCAGCCACCAAGTCCAAACCCATAGAAACAAGTTCCACCATTGTTTCGCCTTCTTATCCCAAAACAAAGGCCTGCCCCTGGTTTCCCCTCTTCCGCTAGCTACTGCACCCACAGACACGGGCACACAGAATCTATAACACTGCCTGCAGCCATCACCCTTTTTCCCTCCCTTATTTATAACAAAACCACACCCACCAAGCCAGCACCGATTCGCATCTGCAGAGAAAAGAAGCTTAATTTACTTTTGAGCAATCAGAAAGGAAGGATCTCGATAATGGAGTTGGAGGTGTTTGGGACGATGCTGGGGAAGATGGGTCGGCAGTGCTACGCGGTGCTGTGCCTGAGTACTGTGATAGTGGTGGCCTCTCTCACCATTGCTCATTGCTATGCAAATGCAACTACTTTGGCCGGCGACGATGAGGATCAAGATCCAAGGGAGCGGTCCAGGCGCCGTCTCCGGGCCATGGCTTTCTGATCATTTCATCACAAATCATGAAACCTAGCTTGATGAATTGATGAGTCAAGTTCTCTCGTTATGTTGGTCAAAACAGGGCACAAGAGATGTACATCCATGTGATTAATTAGACTACTTCAGCTCTCCTTTCTTTCTTGACTCTCTCTAACGTCACGTTTGGTTGCCTATGTTTTTTTTTTTTTTTTACAAAAGATAATCTTCATTGATCGAAACAAAAGATAGTTACATCCTGAAAAGCAGCCAGGCCTGAAAATCAAAGTAACGACTCGCAGTCGGGTACAAAGAGAGGGCCTTACGAGCCACCAAGTGGGCTACCCTATTGCTACGCCGACCTACAAATCTAACATTAAACCCTGAGCGAACCGCCAAGTGATGAATAATTTCAGCAAGAATAGCACCAATCCGACTATCACTAGCATCCGCATGATTGATTTTGTCAATAATGACCTTAGCATCCCCCTCAAAACACACCTCCATGATACCCCGATTCAGGCACCACATGATAGCTTCCCAGAGCACCAGCACCTCAACTACCATGGGATCATCAATGCCCGTGAACTGAACCCCACCAGCCATTAGGACCCCTCTAGCCAGGGTCATAACAACAATCCCCCCAACTGAGTGGGACCCCCTCCTCGTAGCCCCATCCCACGTACAAACCAGCCTCGCCGCCACCAAAATCGGTTGAGATGGGGAAAGGACAGAGGAGCGAGAATTCTGATCCACAGGCAGCCCAACCCATTCCTCATACTGCTGATTGTACTGACCCATCAGAGCAGGGATCCCAAATTGCTTGCCTTCGAAGACAACCCAGTTACGAGAACACCATATTCGCCAAAGGACAGTAACAACCGCCATGAGAACGGATGGCTGATTAATCAGAGACATTAACCGCTTGAGGAACCGGGGAAAGGTTTGCCGAGGCAACCCTTCTCCCAGGGAGGCCAGCCCCGAATAGTCCCAGAGCGCCCGAGCCACCGAGCAATAGAGGAACAAATGTTCCAAGGTTTCTGACTCAGCCCAGCAAACCGGACACCTAGGTAAAACCGGAACATCTTTGGCAATGAGGGCTTCCGTCGTAGGAAGAATGCGATTAAGGATTTGCCAAACAAACACCTTCAATTTGGGCGGCAAATTAGCCTCCCACAGCCTGATCCAACTAGCCTTATCCATCCAGCTAACCTCTAACCTCCACCGGCCCTTCCTTCTATCAAGGGTGACAGCTAAATGATAGGCCGACTTCACTGTGAATATGCCTTCCGGAGTATTATGCCAAATCAGCTTATCCTCAACCGGCAATCGCGGAAGGGGGATGGCTTTAATGGCCTCACAAGTAGGAGGATCGAACCAGTGACTCAACTTTCGGTCACACCACTGGCCCCCTTCTGGGTTGATCACCTCTGCCACCACCGGATCCCATCCAATAGGCAGGACCTGGGGGTTATACCGAGGAGGATCAAGCTGTAATTGAGGAATCCAGCGATAGTGAAGCAGGGGAGCAGACTGCCCATTTCCAATTTGCCAACGAAGCCTTGCCTCCAATAACTGACGTCCATACAGAATGCTCTGCCACCCCCACGATGGACGAGATCGTGCCGTGGCCGAAAGGAAGGACCCATTCGGAAAGTACTTCCCTTTATAGACTTGAGCTAGGATGGACTGGGGCTCCTGAAGGAGGCGCCAACCAATTTTCGCCAAAAGAGCTTGGTTAAAATGTTCAAAACGGCGAAACCCCATTCCTCCATCATGCTTACTCAGACACATATTCCTCCATGACATCCACCGAATTCTCGACTGGTCCTCCTCAACTACCCACCAGAACCGTGCCACATGTTTTCCCAGCAATCGGCGCAGTGAGAGAGGCAGCCTGAAACAGGACATCACATGCAACGGTAAGTAACGCCAAGGCAATGGACTTGATTAGGGGCCTTAGCCGCCCAGGATAGCGTCCTTCGTTTCCATCCTTGGAGGCGATCAAGCAACTTCTCCTCCAAGTACCGGAAGGTCTCCATCTTAGACCGAGCAATCAGCGTAGGCAATCCCAGGTACTTATCATGAACCCCTACCGCCCCTACTCCCTAAACCGCAGCCAGGAATTCTTGGTCAGGCAAAACAATGTTTCTACTAAAGCACACTGCCGATTTCTCCAAGTTCACTCTCTGGCCACTGAGCTCCTCGTATTCATTCAAGACCTCGATTAAATTCTCGCACTCCTGGACAGACCCATGCAGGAACAAGTACAAATCATCGGCAAACAACATATGCGAGATCCGCGGGGCCCAGGGAGAAACCTTGATCCCTCCAAGCTTATCATCAGAAATAGCCTTCCGAAGAAGCGCAACAAACCCCTCTATACAAAGCACAAACAAAAGCGGGGATAAAGGATCCCCTTGTCGAGGCCTCTGGAGGGGGTGAAGTAGCCCGAAGGGGTGCCATTCATTAAAACGGAGAAAGATGAGGACCGGAGGCATTTTTGGATCCATCCCCGCCAGGTAGAGTTAAACCCCATTTTTTCCAAGACAACGAGCAGAAAGGGCCATTCAACTCTATCATAGGCCTTTTCTATGCCAACCTTTAGAGCCACGAACCCTTTCTTTCCACGTGCCTTAATTTTCAAATAGTGCATTAACTCATGCCCAAGCAGGAAATTCTCGATGATTTGTCTGTCTCGTATAAAAGCATTTTGACCCTCCGAGACAATCTGTAGTAAAAAACCCGCAATCTCTCAGCCATGATCTTAGCAATAGTCTTGTACACAAACTGGCACAGGCTTATTGGCCGCAATTGTCGTATATTCTCCACAGAGTTGACTTTGGGAATCAGAGTGAGCCAGGTGTGGTTAAAACTACGGAGCATCCTGCTAGTCTCAAAGAAAGAACATACTGCCTCCACCACCGAGGCTCCCACAATACCCCAGAACGATTTGAAGAATTTCCCCGTGAATCCGTCAGACCCAGGAGCCTGCTTCGATCCCATGGCAAAAACTGTTTTGCGAACTTCATCAGGGAGAACAGGCGCCGTTAGGCTGACATTCATTTCTGGGGTAACAGTGTGATCGATAGGCAAGCCTGCCACACGCTCAGACATATTAGAGATTTGACTCTCCGAGGTAAATAGATGCTGATAGAAATTGGTCGCAATACCAGCTTTCCCAAGCTCATCCGTGATCCAATCGCCCTCCTCATTACACCGACCACAAAATTCTTCTTACGGCGCGTCCGAGTCACTGTATGAAAATAAGAGGTATTCTTGTCACCTTTCTTTAACTAGTGAACC